TGAATGGCATCCGTTAAAATGTTATAGCAGAAGCTTATATGTTGCTACTCTAGGATACCGGTGCTCGTTGAATCTCGGTTATGTTATTCTTATTATGACTATTGTCTGTCTGAGGTAGTTGGAGTCTCTGTATTTTATCCATATTAGCCGGCTTCTAAAACATTTTTTAGCCTAACTGGTTACTTGGAGACAGTCATGAATCTGGTTCTGCCCTTCATCAACTCTCTAATCAGCAACCGAATTACCTTGTACGAAAAACGTGTTATTTCAAAAGACAGGTTTCTGGTGAATAATAGCTCTGTTTGTATAACATAAAATTGTCTCCATTAGATTTTGTGCCTGCCATTATGAATTCTTAATTGCCATTTTCATATGAACTGTGGTCATTATACATTTTTATGCTTGGAGCACTCGCTTCATTTCACTTGCGATCTTGTGCAATCAGACTGAATATTAAGGCATGATTTATCTTGTGTAGATGGGACATAATTGCTGAAAGATTAGGCTTCATGCTGGTGTTTGGAGATCTTGTTTGGATTCCTTTTACATTTAGCATTCAGGTAAATAATGTTTACCAGTTTCTCTACTGCCACTTAAACATTCGCTTTCCCTTGATCTTCATTAAATTAGTGAGAAGCTGGAGAGGGGAACAAAACATTTCTTATAAGAGTGTGGAAACCTCTTCCTAACAGACGCGTTTAAAACCTTGGGGGAAACCAAGGAAAAACCCAAAGAGGACAATATCTGCTAGCAGTGGGCTTGAGCGGTTACAAATGGTATCAAAACTAGATACCGGATGGTGTGCCAGTTAGGACGTTGGGTCTCTAAGGGGGGTGGATTGTGACATCCCACATCGGTTGGAGAGGGGAACGAAGCATTCCTTATAAGGGTGTGGAAACCTCTCCCAAATAGACGCGTTTTAAAACTTCGAGGAGAAGCCCAAAAGGGAAAGCCAAAAGAGGACAATATCTGCTAACGGTGGGCTTGGGCTGTAACACAAGCGCAAAACCTCCTTTAGGAATATAGAAAGATCACTCTGTACATGAAGTAAACAGAAAAATTACAACAACCCTTGGTAAAATATAAGAAAACATCCCCACTAGAAAATCATTCACAAATTGTTCTTCTTCCACACAACTTTTTTAAGAAACCTCCTCGGAATACAAAAACCCCATGAAAGCATAACAAAAAAGAATATTAAAGAGCTTAGAAGTTTGAATCCTCAACTCCACATGTTGATCTAACAAAAGAGAATACACGAGCTTCCCACAAAGACCTCCTTCTATCTTTCAATCTAGGAGGCTATTCCACAGACTTTCATCTGCTTATTAAAAGCCAACTCCTTATGGACAAATGAAAGGAATTCAAGATCATCGTCTAGTTCTGCTGCATTATACTTGGCACTTATTAGTCATCTTGTTGACTAAAAACTTTTGCATGGAACCAGGATCATTATCGCACTTGCTCTGATATTGTTTGTATTTTGTGTCCAAACGGATTCTTAATTCTCCAATTTCAAACTGAAACGCACCCATATGAGTTCAGATTGTCTTGCGCATTTCACCATCACAAATTCTGGACCATTATCTTCATCCTTCAATTTATCTTTTAGAGCTTAATGAAGGCTCTATGTTAAACTATCTGTATATTGTAAGTAGTAATGGATCGTAAATTTGTTTTCATATTCAGATTATCTGTGTTCGCTTTTGTTATAGGGTTGGTGGCTTTTAACAAACAAGGCTGAGCTAACAACAGCTGCTACCATAGCTAACTGCTCGGTCTTTTTAATCGGGTAGCTATCACGACGTGACATGACTTATCATTGACATTTTCTTTTTCCTTGTCTTGAAGGTTCACTAAGTTGTGAGATTTTTGTGTACTAATTTGGGCAGATATCTTGTGTTTAGAGGATCTAACAAGCAAAAACACATGTTTAAAAAGAACAACAAAGCGCTTATATGGGGTAGGCCTCCCAAAGTTGTAGGAGGAAAGTTGCTTGCTTCTGGTTATTGGTAAGATTTTCATCTATTTTTGTTTATTTGTTGTCATAGGCATAACGTCTCATTAAGTGTTTTGAGGGGAGCAGAATTTTTCTGATAGCTTTTTAGGGCTATACTGCAATGTTCTCGTTTCTTGTTTTTCTTTCCGAAGTGTGTTTGATAATGGTAACGTTTCTTGTTCTCTCAATAGGTTAAAGTTTTTCTCGAAAATAATACTTTAGAATAAATTCTTCAAATTTTATACACAATTTTAGAGACTCTTAAAAATGAAAAACAAGAAACGTAAAACGATCAATCCATGAACACGTGTTTCTTAGAAACTAGAAACAATAAACAAGAAACGAGGATATTGCCAAGACCCCTGAATTTTTCGATCTTGAAACCTGAGGCCTGTTGAGATCTTACATTTTGCAAATCATGGGTATTGTTTGGACACCATTTCTCAGGACATGGGAGGCCACCCTATCACTAAAAGGTGGATCAATTTCAATCCACTTTTATTTCCTCATACTCATCTGAAATAACTACGCAATCCCGGTGTCTCGTCACTTTGACCCTCTGTTCACGTCTCTCGTTCTTCACGGCCTAAAAATCTTATACTTGCTGTTGAAACAGGGGAATTGCTAGGCATTGTAATTACCTTGGAGACTTGTTGCTTGCACTTTCTTTCAGCTTACCATGTGGGATAAGGTAATTTATTGGTTCCTCTTTCTTTGTAGCCAAAAGAAAAGAAAGAAGAAGAAATCTGATAATCCCGTCATTTTTGCAGCTCCCCAATTCCATACTTTTATCCCACATATCTCCTCCTTCTGCTAATATGGAGAGAAAGACGGGATGAAGCTCGATGCGCTGAGAAATATAAAGACATTTGGGCGGAGTATACCAAACTCGTCCCTTGGAGAATACTGCCTTATGTTTATTAGCATAGACAGATGTTGTTACTTGTGTGAAATATGAACACTTCTTGTCTGGTGCTTCTCTTCTCTTCTCCCTGAGGACACAACTTTCATCTGCTTCCCATGTTCATGGATTGTCTTCATTTTACAAAGTCTGTGTTAAGTTATTCTTGTCTGCTTATTGTGTCTTTTAACTTGGTTAACCTGCACTTCATTTTCTAGGTTTAGAAATTCTTGTGACAATGGGAATAAATACTCTCTCCTTTATTATCATCTCTCTCTTTCTCTCCATTTTTTTTGTTTCCTTTATTGGTCTTAGTTTTGATAAAATTAATAGCCGGTGACATGAACTTGACTTTGAGTCTCCGAGGCTATAATGGTAGAAAAGTGTTTCTTAGGCAAAAGGACTGCAGAGTGAAGTTGGGTATCACTTGAATGCGGGGTATTCGTATTCAACAGGAATGCCTCCGAGCATATTTCCACTAAGAAAATAAGAGAGTGCTTTACCAAGTGGGAATATGAAGTACTCGATGTGCCATTTCACCAGGCTTGACCTCTCACATGGTTGTATCTCATCAAAGAATGATAAGAAGTTGCTTGTCTGAGGGAATACAGAGACGAATAATATTAACAAATTATTGACACTAGGAAAAAGCGCTATCAATCTCAATAGAGTCAGCCCGTACTAATTAAGTTGTGGTTGGATTGGCTGCAAGCGAAATATAGGTACTTTAAATGCGAAATATAGGCACTTTAAGTGTGAAAGGAGTAATTGTAGTTTCATAAAAGTAGAAACTCTTCCCAATAATCCATGTGTTATATGTGTTATAAAAAAAACATTATAATCTTTAAAAAGGTTTAATAAGTTCATTATTTTTTTAGTTTTATAAGTGTATTAAGCCTTCAAATTTAAAAATTAAATTCAAATGCTTTACAAACGTATATTTTAAATAATAATTATTATGAATTAGTTTTAAAGGAATTTATTCCTTCAAATAAATTATGAGTAGAAATTTTGCTGAATGACAGAGATTCTCTGCCTTCGGAAAAGTGAAAGGATGCATTGATTCCTTCGTTGAAATGTTTCCTTCCCTCATCTGTCACTTAATCATTATAATAATAATAATAATAATAATAATAATAATAATTATTATTATTATTATTATTATATTTTGTAAAATTAAATTCATTGAAATAAATTGAATAAATAAAACAATAATATCATATGCAAAATACAAAATACAAAAGGGATGTAATTATATTTATCAAGTCCTAGAAAAACCAACTATATTTTAAAATTTTAATGATTATAAAAGTTATTATTTAATTTAACTATCATCCGTATTCCGTATTTTAGTATGATAAATATATTTTACGTACAAACATCTTTTAGTATTATTATAGCAAGATATTTGTGAATATACTAATTTCATTTTAAAATCTAATTATCTTGAAAAATGGGAGCATAGGAGCGTAAATACGAACTCTTTTAATCATTAATTTTTTTTCGTAAAAACTATAATTTTAATCTTACTTTTAAATAATTATTTTATAATTGAATGGTCGCTAATAAATTAATTTGAGTTGACTTTAGCTACCACATAATACTGTTCGTTAAATCGTTTTAGGAAGGTATTTATGGGTCCCACAAATCAATTTATGCAGAAAAATAATTATTATTTTAAAGGGTTTTGAAGGCCAACTACTTTGGTTTTTGGGGGACACATAGACTTTTTAATTTTCAGTGTCCTATCTTATCCAAACTACATGGGACACATTTCCAACAATATCATATAAATCAAATCATATTTATTTGCTTATATATATATATATATAACTATTTAATGTATAAATTATAGCAGTACAAAATCTTATACTCATTATATAATTATGTATTTAATTAATTTGGCTAGTATAGAAAATTAAACAAATGAAATAGCAACTATTTTATTTGCCAACATAAAAACATCCGAAAGACCTTTTTAATTCAATAATTATAGAGATGAAGATTAAATTATGGATATTTAAAACAATTAGTAATTTATCCACCACCATGCTAGAACTAGTCAGTTTTCCAGTTCCGAATGAACCAAAAAGAATTTATATTTGTTAATTTAATTTAAAATTTTGGGATTGTGTACAAAAATTTGAATTTTCTGGGATGAGACAAGAGGGGTCTGGCCAATGGCAGGTTCAAACAATAAAGGCGGCCAGTGCAGTGTCTTTTGTTCTTAAATTACGTGTCAACCTTGAACCAAAGCAGCACATAGTTTCCGGTGATCTGTAGGGTCAAGTTATCAAATCTTCAAAACCAATATGAATAATAAAAGGCCAAAAGATGGAAAGCTTTGAAGATTCCCTTGGGGTCAAGACTAACGGAGGCATTGACTGACGGAATCGCACCGTTTGCTAATGCAGTTAGTTTGTTTGCTTGCCGTATGCATCAGGTGAGCGTTAAATCCCCCACCGTCATCCTCTCGGTTTTCGTTAGCTCACGTGTTTGTTCCCAAACCCGACACTTAACGCGCCGTGGTAGTTAGTTATACCCTATTTTCAATTTGGCCCTTCCGTGGTTGCTTCTATCTTACTCCACATCCCCCATTATCATCCTACACCAATAAAAAAAAAAAAAAAAAAAAAAAAAGAATTATTAAGCCCAAAAAAGAAATAAATAAAAAGAAATATTCTATCCAAATCTGTTTCTATGTCTAGGCTTCCTGTTGCAATAAAAAAGAATATATATTATATAATAAAGTGATCGAGAGATAAAATAATGACTTGAAAATTATTAAAATATTTAATTTAAAAAATTTTATATCAGAATTGTAAGGACGTAACATATTAAACATGCATGATGATCTTCGTGCAAGCAAAAGAAACTATGTACAGCTCCTGATAAGGTACTGAGACATAAGAAGGTGAGAATGGGCAAGAAGAAAATAAGTAATCACCTGATCAAAGAGCTCTGCAAATATATAAAACCCACCATCTTTTTGTTTGGTTTTTCCTTTCAATTCTCCCCTTACAGAGATAAAGGGAGTGAAGGGTTGAAGGAAGATAAGGATTTCTTGGCTTTCCGGTGAGTAGTAACAACTCAGATCTGGCCGACACTGACTCAGTCCTCCGGTAACTATTCGCCTGAAAGTATGGTGATTTTTCAGTTTAATTAATTTAGTAATGGAAGGGAAAGGGAAAATTATTGTGGTTTGTTGGGATTTCTTTTTTTCCTTTCGTCTTGCCCTTCAATTCCAATGATCATTGAAGCTGTGAACTGGACCTTTCTCTCTCTCACTCTTCTTTTTCTCTCTCTACTTTCATTTTCTTTCCCCCATTTTTGAAAGCTGGGTGTTTGCTGCCATGAAAGAGCAGAAGTTTTGTAGAAGGGAGATCTTTAATTCAGATGGGCTGTTAATCGTTAAGTCTAATTTTGTACTGTATTTCAGCTACGATCTGTTTGAGCTGGAACATAAAACTGGCTTTTTGGGTTTCTCGGTGCTAAGAGACACCATGAAATTTCTAAACTTATCACGTTTTCTCACAGTGAACGAAGAATTACGTTAAGAAAATAAGGCGTACCTTTGCCGGAAGCTGGGCTTTCTGGAGCAAGCTTGAGGGCTAAATTGGCTCTTCTGCTTGAGTGGAAACCAACCGAATGGATTCCGGCCAACATGAGGGAAATCCGGCCTATGATCAAGGCGGTTCCTGGATTCCGGCAACACCCATGAAGCCCATTTTACCAAAACCTCCGCCGCAGCCGCTGATCTATGCAAGGATAGACCGAAATCAGTCACGGTCATACTGGGTGGGATCAGAGAGACTCTCAAATTCTAACGAAGCTGAGACCAGCAGTGGAGTTGCATGTTATGGTGAAGCTAATGGTTCTTACGGTTGGGAAGCAGCTCAGACTGGGCGATTCCAAGTGGCCTGTAATGATAATGGAACAGTGGCGAAACCCTCTATTGACGCATTAGTAGAGGGCATTCCCTTTTTGCAGCTAATGGCACTGGCAGATGCGGCTTCTACTGTGGGTGCGGATGCTACATTGGGTGGAAATGCAAGCGATATGTTCGATTCTGGCTCCAGCTATCGAATTGAATTGGAGTCTAGCTCTATGAAGGGTCGTCTCAGTAACTCCTGCGTACCTGAAGCCACAGGGTGTAAGTCCAGCTTATATAAATAGTAATTTACACTGAGGATTCTTAAATATGGTATAACTGTGATGCTTACACAAAATTTAGCATAAGAAGCATTAAAGAATAAATTGATGAGTTAAAAGCAGGCTGTTGTATTAAAAGTGTAAATCTTTGGGGAAACTGAACCAATCTAACAGATAAGGGAATTGGCAGGAGAAAACTGATTAAAAATGGAGAATTCATGGTGAGTTTACTTTCAGCTAATTGTTAGTTCCTGGATATTCATTTTCTTTATTTGACATTTCTGTTTCCTGTGAAGTTCTGCAATCTACATGCTTCAATTAGTTTATCATATTCTTTCTAATTACGCTATGGAGAAGAATGTAATTCAGATTTGTTCCTATAATGAATAATATGAAAAATCTCTATAAGTTCATTGTTGTTGACATCTAGTGTTCTGAAAGTTTGTACCTTCAAATTTACAGATGAAATATCTGACCATTTCCGGCATGCTTATGACCTCAATTTTCGATCTGGGATGGAATCAGATGCAGCTGCAATCAGACTTACTTCCCAATTCACACCTCCAACACCAGATATGGGCAAGAGTAAATATACAGAAAGAGAGACAGAAGTACAGCAGATACCAACTGAGAACAGCAGGAATAATAGAGAACAGAACCACAACTGCAATACTTTGATAACAGTTGATGGTGATAACCTGAGAGAAAACTGTAGTACTTCAATAACAATTGGCGGGGAAAACCCGAGAGAAAATAAAGAACTTGATCCTGCAATGCACTCAACAATTACTGCTACCTCTACCCCAGATGGAAAGGAAGGCAAGAATGCTGGTAACCTGAATAAAACCCCACCACCGAGGCAGAGAAGGAGAAAACATAGACCTAAGGTCATAATCGAAGGAAAAACTAAAAGAACAAAGCCAAACTTGAAGTCAGACAGTTCCAATCCAAGTATGAGAAAGCGTGTCAAGAAAAGTGGACTCAGTACGCCTTCAGCAACTCCCACAATACAAGTAACAGGTGAAATCTCCGACCAAGAAATGATCATGCATAGAAGGAAGTCATGCAGAAGGGCCATAAATTTTAATTCTCAGGCACAGACAAGAGACGGGTCCTTCAATTCAGGGCCACTGGAACAAGATTCACTCACTCAAAACATTCAATCAACTACAGGACTAGAGGAAGTGAGGCTTGAAGAAGTAGGCTCTTCCACCGATCCAAATTGGCCCACGAATCATATGTTGAAAAGCTACAAGTCTCTGCCAGAAAAACAAGCCCCACCAGCTGAAATTTCAGCTGAGAATAATTCTCCTGAGAGAAGATTGCATTCGAACAACAAAATGGAGAACACAGAACAACATGGTAAAGTAATTTCCAATTCTGAAGAAGGAAACATGGTAGAAACGATGCTCAATGATGGCAAGAACTCCAATTTGACTGCAAGAGAGCAAGCAACTTGTTGCCTGACAAAACGTTCTCAGACCAACAAACAAGCAGATGCTACGAGCATAAATTTAACAGGGGCCCATTATAATACATTATCTGCATATCAGTCGATGTCCTGTTTACACTTTCCCCACATTCACAAGAAGAAAAGATCTGAGAAGGGCCAGAACCCAGTCTCCTCTAGTGCATTTACTAGAACAACTGTAGCCACACATTTCATGAGGCCAGAAAATGCATGCTCTTTCAATAATCCTCAGAGAGATCACATGGTATCAAGATCCAACATAGCTGGACCTCAGTTTAATACTTGTAGAAGTAAAACCGCAGCTTGGCATGAAGGAAACGACCTTCAGGGTAAGTTGCTAACATATGGAGGTATCGTGGCTTTAGGTCAGACTGAGAGAACAAAAAAGAGACCCAGAACAACCAAACGACTTTCTAAATTGTCTCCACCAGCAAGAATTGATGACTGTGAGAAGCGGCAAATATATCCTACTAATCAAACTTCTTTGGACAGTTCTGCAAAAAATATCAATATGTCTCGAACATGCATAAATGGGCTATTTGAGACAATGCATGCAACAGTGGCAAAGAAGAAAAGAACCAAGAAGAATTTTCCTTCAAACTCAGCACTTCTCAATATAAACAAAGATCTTCAGGACTGCAGATCTGTATCCTTCAATCCTTATCAATTCTTTCCCAAAACATCAGGTATCAAGATTAAAACTTTCTCTCGAATGCTGAAGAAATTCACCCATTTAACGATTTTTTTTTCTTCACTTTCCTTTATCTATACAGGCACTGCTTCAGAACATGGCAATCAAATGTGCTTTATTGATGCCATAATCGAACAATTTAAGCATTTAGACATCAACAAGGAAAGCAACAATTTGGGATATAGAGAACGAGCACTTGTACCCTATAACATGCAAAATCAGGCACTCAATGCCATTGTCGTTTATGGAAGAGAGGGAACTATTGTACCATTTAATCCTATAAAGAAACGACGGCCACGGCCTAAAGTTGAGCTCGATGAAGAGACTGGCAGAGTATGGAAGCTTCTGATGGGAAATATAAACAGCGAAGGCATTGATGGAACAGATGAGGAAAAGATTAAATGGTGGGAAGAAGAGAGGAAGGTGTTTCGAGGGAGAGCAGATTCATTTATTGCACGGATGCATCTTGTTCAAGGTACAATATAAACTATTCAACTCTTAACCAACCACTATTAAAGAGTTACATCTAGAACTCCATGTAGACATCAAATGAATAACAAATCTTAACAATGAAATAGCTTTACATTTGATAAGTTCGTTAGACAATTGGGTTTATGAGTGATGGAGCATGCATTAATTCAGGAAAATCAATACAGGCGAGAAAGAGAGTACAAGGAAGGTTTCTAGGGCAATTGTAAGAGTTTAACAGGAAATCAAGTTCCTAGGCTTACCAGTCTCGTGCTTCAGACATTCCTTCTTGTATATGCTTTTTCAGAGAGGATTAAACAGAAAATCAAGTTCCTAGGCTTTGATGTCTTCATGCTTCTGCACATATACATGTGCTTGTATCAGCAATGTGTTCCAAAAAACACCAAATGAAAATTAACTTGCATGAAAGATTAGTCTAGGCCTAGTACGCATCCTTACAATAACTACTTTGCTGATCAGGCCAAAAAGTAACATAATTGCATTTCTTCAGGAGATAGGCGTTTCTCTCAATGGAAGGGATCAGTTGTGGACTCCGTGGTTGGAGTATTCTTGACCCAGAATGTCTCCGATCACCTTTCTAGGTAAGCTAGATTGTTAAATGGTGTAAGCTAAGTGTAATTCAAAGTCATCTCTACCTCTTCTGTTTCTTTTACTAACTCCATCTAAGGTTGGCAGCTCTGCCTTTATGTCTCTTGCGGCACGCTTTCCTCCTAAGCCAAAGTGTCACCAACCATCATGCTATCAAGAGCCAATTATAGAGTTGGATGAACCGGAAGAATACATGTTAAATTTAGAGGATGGCATGAAATTTAACAAACAGATAATGCAGCAACAAATAAGTGAAGAGGGGTCCTTGATGAAAAATGAAATGGAAAAAAGTGAAGGACAAATAAATGTTGACAACATTGAATCTAGCGGAAGTAATATTGAGGATGAGAGCTCAAACAAGGAGTCAGAAAAGAAAAGTTTTAGTTCATCTCATAACATTCTTGAGACATGTAGCAATTCAGTGGGAGAAGTATCGTTGACTGGAACCAGCCGAATGCAAGTATGTCTCTCTGGAGAGAGAGAAATATTTGATTCGTTTTCATTTCAAGACTGTGTGGATTCTTCGATTTCTCATACCAGTGAGGGCATTGAACCTTCCTCGGAGGGAAACTCAGAAGATCTACCAAGCTGTGCCAAAGTGGCACACTTGGACTCTTCCTCAGAGGAGCTTATTCAGATGGCAGGACTAAATACTCTAGATGCTCATGTTACAGCTGATACTTCCGTTGACCAGTCAGAGAACACCACAATCAATAAATTAGCAGCAAAGAAGTGTGATAATGGAATAGATAGCACGTTCCAATCAGATGAACAGGAAATATTCATAAAAGATTCTGTCAGTCATTTAAGTGGCTATCAAATGCAGCAAAACCACACCTCGGAATCCTTGGAGGCTGACTGCTGCCAGACGCGCAATGGAGTTAAAACTTCTAATGATTGCCAGAACAAGGATGAACTTTTTCCTACTGAAGAAAGTACACAGACTGTAGAATCTGACAATCATGCTAACGTTGAAATAGAGCTCATGGCAAATATCCACGAAGCACCATTGTCTAGTAGTGAATTAAGCATTAATGCAAAGGAGCCAAGCTTGACCTTACAGTCTCGAGGCAGTGTGATCGAAGACCCTCAAAATGTAGAGTCGCCAGCAGAATGTACAGACAATGTGCGTAAAATTCCACCAAATATTTCACCAAATGCTACAGAAATAGCAACACAGTCGAATCCAAAGGAGTATGACCATTCGCTTAGTAACGAATTCAAAAAGATGAAACCTGATACTTCAAAATCTCCGAGAAAACAAGGTGCA